CAATTTTTATGAACAACATACAAAACAAATAAAAAGAACATAAAATATTAATGAAACAATAGATTGAATCCCAAAAAGTGTTGGTCAAGTAAGAGATGAGAAAAATAAATAGACGTGTAGATTTGTTTGATAAAAAATGCGTACTTAATTATGATGATCTATATATATTTACAATTCCTATGAATTATATTATTGAACGGTTGTACACAGATAACATGTATATTAAATAACACATATGTAATGTTTAATATATCTTATATGCCTAAATTACTAAAAATAAAGTAAAATTATGTGACACCACCTTGTAACATTGAACATTTTTACTATGGCAGTACCTTATAACGATCTACACATAATTTGACAAATTAAAAAATACATAAAATATAAAATAACACATATATTACATTTAATGCTTATCTGTCATCCACTAATCAATTTGTCTTACTTAATCGGTTTCATAGACAAATACTAGGGCATAAAGGGAGGAGTAGAGATTACAATTGTTGTGACATGCTCAAACACTTCGATCTTTTGTATGGAAGGAGCCATAGCATGACCGCTCCTAAGGCCCAACCATTAAAATAGTCATCTAGAACCCCAAAAATTTATGGCCTCAATTTAATTTTTAGTCTTTAGTTCAACTTCATGTTATGAGGCCAATTTGAATAGACAAAATTAAAGGCATAATATATTTCACAAGTATATCTAAAGTCTTATAAAAAGATCTAAAATGTAACAAGTTCACAAGTTTACGTAAACCTTGTAGAAAGTCCTAAAATATAACAAATCCTTCTAAAAATATAGAAAAATAACGAATTCTAGTTTTAAAAGTTACAATCATTTTCGATTTTTTTTTTACTATTTTTTCCTTCATTTTTACCCCTCTCTTTTACTCTTTCTCTCCTCTCCTTCTCTCATTGTCTTGTTGTGATTCTTTGTCATTATCTTTAACTTTCTTATTGTCACTTTAATTATTCATAATGTATAAGATCCTGACTTTACAATTGCACCCAATTTATTGCCTCATCCCACCCGATCTCAAAGCTCTTGAAAACAAATTATACTGCAACTTTCTATAAAATGTCTAATACTTATTAAAAAAACTTATTATTTTCCTAAAATATTAAATGAACTCATGTAAAATTCTTGCTTTAGGCCTTAATTTGTGCACGGCTTTTGTTTGGGGTGATGACAATGAAGAATGTGTGTGAGAGTGAGAGAGAAGGGAGACAAATTATTATTGAGGGAGAGAAGATATGTGAAATACCAAAAAAAAGGTGATGACAGTGGAGACTGTGTGTAAGAGCGAGAGACAAATTATTATTGAGAGAGGAGAGATATGTGAGATACCTGAAAAAAGGTGATGACAGTGAAAAATGTGTGTATTATTGAGGAGAGGAGATGTGTGAGATACCTAAAAAAAATTCCACTGGTTGTTGCATATTGTTGGCGATGACTATCCAACAAGCTCTGTTGACAACGATAGAGATAAGAACGGCGGTTGTTGAAGGCGTGATTGAGATTGGACATGAAAAAGCGAAGGGGTTATTAGGGAGTGAGAGAAAGGAATAGAAGATTTGGAAAAAAAATAAGAGTGATGCTATACTGACCAAATTTTGGGATCAAATTTGGAGCCCAAATGATTTGGCAATATATTATTTGGAGTTTTTATTAAGACCCAAATGACATGACACCAAATAAAGAAGCTCAAGTCAACTGCCATGTCATTTGTGCTCTAAATTTGGTCCCAAAATTTAGTCAGTATAGCATTACTGGAAAAATAAAGGCGTGACTAAGGGCAAGAAAGATCTCCTTTCCTTTCTTTATTGGAATACAGAGAGAGCTCTCCTTTCCCCATTGGAATTCAAAGGGAGCTAGAGAAGTTACGAGTGGAGAAGAAAATATTGGGTGTATCAGTTACACCATAAAATCTCGCGTCGTGTTTATTTATTGTTCGTATCAAGTATTTGTCAATTCTAATCCAATTCGTTTAACTAATAGAGTTGACCTATTTAGTTTTACGTGGTATTCGTGTTGACCCATATAACTTGTAAATAAAACATTTAATGTTTAGATTTAAGTCTAAAATTTAATTATCACTTTATCAAACCTATGCTCATATTTTTTCTATAAATTAAAAATTAAGTTAATAAATATAATAATTATGTCACTACTTGATAAAATATAATAAAAATGAACATTTTATTTTTATAATACTAATTAAATGTGTTAATCGTATAAATTTTGTGAATTGATAGTTATTGAATGACGTGAATGAGTAGTTATTTAATTATGGGGGATTAACTTGCCCACATATTATTTTACTAGTAATAACCCGTGCCTGAAGGCACTAAGTAACTAAAAAACCTCTATCACCGGTATGCAATATAAATATTTCAAATAATACTTTATTTTTTTATTATTTTCTTTAGTTACACAATTCAAAATTAATTTGAAAACACTATTTTTTTTAAAAAATTGACAAAACTTCCATAAAAACGCCACCCCTAAAAAATATCAATATGTACACAATTTATATATTTAATCATTATACCTAAAANTTGACAAAACTTCCATAAAAACGTCACCCCTAAAAAATATCAACATGTACACAATTTATATATTTAATCATTATACCTAAAAAATATCTTTTTTTTTTTGTAGAAGTCGATATTGACATGTGTGTGTTGGTAGCTGTATAGAGAGAGAGTTATATAAGATATGTGATAAACTTATGAGAGATGAAAATATGATACATAGAGAGAGATTATGATATTAATTGATATTAGATGTATTATGTTATATATATATATATATATATATATATATATAGTCGTCCAAGTCAAACTCTCAGAAGATAGAGTTATATGAGATATGAGAGTGTGTGAAAGAGAAAGAGATGTAAAAGAAATAAAAATTCAATTAGGATCATACATGTATAGATAGATAGATAGATATAGGATGACATACATGGATAAAGTTACAAAGGGGCAAGGGTGGACCCGGGCCCATTCTCAATTTTTTTTTAAAAAATATGATATATATATATATATTTNAGTTATATGAGATATGAGAATGTGTGAAAGAGAAAAAGATGTAAAAGAAATAAAAATTCAATTAGGATCATACATGTATAGATAGATAGATAGATATAGGATGACATACATGGATAAAGTTACAAAGGGGCAAGGGTGGACACGGGCCCATCCTCAATTTTTTTTTAAAAAATATGATATATATATATATATTTGTATTTATATATTCTAAAAGTTATACACATATTTTTTACTTATACTCACTCTATAATTTTCTTCTTTTAATTATTTAGTCTTTTTTATTATAATAATATGGTTTTCTTCAGATGATCTTCATTTTATTATGAATTTTTGCAAGCGAAAGTTCTTTCAATTGATCTTCATTTGATTTTGTTTTTTCTACGAAAAATTATCTTTTATTTTTATTCGAATATTGATTATAGTCTTTATTATGTGCCAATCAATTTTTAATTTTTTTACTATGTCTCTTAGATTTTAGTTTAATAGTTTTATTATACTAATATTTTAGTAATAATGTTTAAAACATCGTTTATTGAATAAATTTAATAGATTGTTATTGAATAATTGATATTTTTTAATTATAAAAATGACAATTAGCTTCACTTTTTACATTGGTGATAATTAGTCAATTTTTGATACATATATAATATATAATTTTTTGGCCATTTTATGTTAAATGGATTTCATGTATCAATATATGATATAATAAATGTAAATATATTATACAGTGTTATTGGTTCAGAGAAAAAAAATTAGAGTGCATAATTAAAGTGTCCACCTTAAATAAAATTTTTGGCTCCGCTCCAGATGACATATGCTAATGAACTTATAATTTATTAGAATTAATCCTTGTTATTGTATTTTGTTATTATTATTATTATATATATATAAAGAGAGTTATATGAGAGATGGAAGAGTGTGTGTTTAAAACATGTGTGAGATAACAGAGAGAGTATGAGATAGAGGGAGACAGAGTTGTATCAGTTAGTATGAGATAGAAGGAAAGAGAAGAGATGAGATAGTGTGTTTAAAATGTCTAAGAGATAAAAGAGAGGGACTTATATGAGAGCTAGGAGAGGCGTGAGATAGGGGCTGTGTTGGGCAAGAAAGAAAAATATAGGACTCTTTGTTGACTATTAGATCATAATTTTTGAGATGATTTGAATTATCTTTTATATTGAGATTACATTGTCCGTTGGATGTGTTTATGTTTTGTTTCAAAACGATCTGGACCTTTCTTTATCTCCAAAATTCAAACTTCGTTCTATTTTATTATATAGATTATTGAATAGTTACACTATATCAACATGATGATAGGATATAAAAGACACGTAAGAGTGGTCTATGGATTAAGGATGCTAGATTTTGACCCAAACTGTTATTAAAATTAGTTATCAGATTTTTATTTGTTTTAGGAGTCTTTGTTCACATGGGATTATAACCATGTAATAGTATTTTTTTTTGAATAAATTACATATATGATCTTCAAATTTTGACTCTAGTATTAATTAAGTCTCTTAATTTTTTTCTGTATCAAGTGAGCCCTTAAACTCTTTAATTATATCAATTGAGTCATTCTACTATAGGTATACTAGGGTTATAGAAAGTATGGGGGCCATGGCCCCCTAGGCCTCCCTCGTGTTCCGCAGGTGATACAGATTATACATTGAGACAAAGGCGGCTCAGATCAACGTATAGATTATACCTTGACATATGTGTTTATTGTAAATTTTTCATTTATACGACTCATTCGTAAGATTATGGAAAAGTGGTACACTCTTTCTGGATTATATGTAGACTTGGGTTCGTTGAATCCGTTCTTTTCAATCGAAAAAAACTATACAACATTAAAAACGAATCATAATAATGAAAATACTTCAAATTTATTAGCAATTTGAAATGAATTTGATATATAATTACTATATATGATTAATTTTCATCTAGCTATGTCTGTGTTTGCAACCACAGATCACCATCAATGAATGATACATTAAGAAAGGGTGAAGCTTGTGTGTCATTGAGTCTCTGGGCATATGCCACCCGCATTGTCATATTAGATCCGGCACCTAAGCACTTGTATTCTCCATAAAAGATAGTCCTGCGTTCGAAACAAGACAATTAGTTTATAAATGTCAATGAGACCATCCTTTAATCCAATGGAGAATACTATGGCAAGTTTAGTTTAGGTTGGATTAATTTAATTCAACAATGATATAATACTAAGTTTGGATTGAATTATAATAACTCGATATTAATTTCTCTTTAATCCTAACCCGATTCATTATTACCATTTAACACCTAATATTAGATAGGAATAAATATTATGTGATAGGTGGTATTAGTTTTAACTTTCATATAAAAGTTACACATTATACAAATTCTTACCCTTAATATTTGTTTTATCAATTTCAATCTAATACTGTATACTATTTATCTAATACAAACATAAATTTAGTGCTATAATTATAGATTTATACCTTATCCTAACCTTGATCCAAACCTTTTACACAAAAGATAGGATAAAATAGTACTTTTTTTCACATGATTTGTATGGACTAATAATACATGACGTGCGCACGTGAATATATTTTAAGAATAAATTGTTTATAAAAAAATTAAATTATATGAGTAATTAAATTGAGTAATAAATTATATAATTTTAATTATTTCTAAACCTAATTATTATTCTATTTTACCCTATTCGAGTATCTCTCTGACCCCATAGATATTTTCTCATTTATTTATAATGAATCTTTATTGTAAATTTATTATTATTGAGTATTTGCACATTTAATTAAATTATAAATTTATTATATTTTTTATCAAAGAAAATGATTAAATTTTAATACTATTGTTTATATTGTAATAATATGATATTGTTGTATACTAAAAAACCAATTATAACATATATTGAATTGTAAAATAATAGAATATAGATTGGACTTTATTTCTTCATGTAAATATAGACATAGATATATAAAACCGTATGTAAGTGTGTTATTGATAAATAAGTCTAAAAGAATTTAAAAATAAGATATGATTTAATAAAAAAATCTAAGCAACTTAGAAGTCAAATAGGTATACGGAATAAAAATAATACAAACTTTTAAAATAAAATATTGTTAATAAAAGAGTTCAAAAGAATTTAGAAGTCAAATAGATATAAGAAATAAAAATTAGAAGAAACTAATATATGAGTATCATTAATTTTATAATAAATAATATAGATTAGATGGAAACCAATTATTCAATCTCATACTTTATTTATAGTGAAACGAAACATGCACTTAGAAGTGTTAGAGAGATGTTTACGTACTGGTCTCTACTGGGGTCGTTGAAGTCGTTCCACCCCTCGGGGGCAATGATATCAGACATAGACGTGAAAGCAAAAACAACTCTCGAGAATGGCCTCCATGCTCGACCTAGCCATGTTCTTCCTGTCCCTCCTACTGTGCAGTTGACAAATGCAAAGCCACTGTTTTCGTCGTTGGAAGCTCGGCCGTGGGCTGTAATGGCTCCATTTATAGTCTTCACTCCTGTTGGTACTGGGCTGGATATAGAAGTCAACTGGCAGTCCTGTACAAGATCAAAATTATAAAGCAGGATTGATGAATGGTTATTGTAACTCATTCTTTGGAGCTACACGGTTTGCTACTGCACATACTCTGTTACTTCTACCGTAAACTGGCCCAAGTAGGATTTTCTCTTTTGGTTCAACGATGAAAGGTGTTTAAGGCAGTTTATATATACTTTGATTAATTTTTTTTTTAGTCCGATTTTTCGGAGTTAGAGTGTNGATTTTTTCTTTTAGTTCAACGACGAAAGGTGTTTAAGGCAGTTTATATATACTTTGATTAATTTTTTTTTTAGTCCGATTNTAGGATTTTCTCTTTTGGTTCAACGATGAAAGGTGTTTAAGGCAGTTTATATATACTTTGATTAATTTTTTTTTTAGTCCGATTTTTCGGAGTTAGAGTGTACATGAGAGAATCTCTATCATGACTTGGCCTAAGAAATTACTAAAATTCAATTTCAAGACTGACAAACCCAAATCCAACCGGACCAAACCCAATAAACCAAATAAGCTCAAGTCAACTAAAAGACAGGTTAAGTCTAATTCGTATTCAAGTAGTCTAAGAAGAAAAGAGCACGTGGAGAGAGATTATTGGAATATCTACTCTTGAAAATCAAGGCTATTATAATTGTACTTATTTTTTGTAATTATCCTTCCCGAAGAATTAATGTCCTTACACTTACGTTACCTCCTCACTATGTCTATAAATTGTAAGTCTTCTTCACCTGATAGGACACATCTTGACATCTCACCACATCTCTCTACACCTCCCTACACACACAACTTTTCGCTCTCCTAACTATTGTACCTCTCTCGGAGCACACCTCTTCCAGATTTTTCTCTCTCTTACTTCATTCATCAATAAAAACCCTCCACCACCGTTGCAATTTACCGGAGTGGAATAGGTCATCCGGACTAAATCACCATATATTTGCGTGTTGACTCAATATTTACATTACTGTCATTGATTGCTTTATTTGTTGTCCATTAATTACATCTTATCACACACTCGACTGTTGATCTTACACGAGACAGTTTTGTGCAGCATTAAGGACATCTAAATTTATAACTCGTCTCTGTTACCAATTAAACGACCATTGGGGTTGGCCTAAATAGCCTTAAGGCATATACAAATAAATTTACATAAACAAATACTGCCTAAATTTGTCTCTCTCTCACACTCTCATTCATATGATTTTATGTTCATAACGCATTAAAAAATGGCATAGTCATAAAGTAGCTTAAACTCTCTTTATTCATTGAAAATATGGCATAGCCATAAAATAACATATATATTTATAATAAGTTTATAAAGACTCTCGCTTAAAGTTTTCGCTTAGGGTCTCAAATTCTATTGAGCTGACCCCCCTCCTCTCTCTCTCAATCTCTCTCTCAACTAATGGGATTGGGATTTTGTGGTCTCACCTAATACATTAAGTTATTGATGTGTCATCTGATATTGTCCAATAATATTACTCCAACTCATTTAGTTTTTTATTACGATCATATCAGCTGACACGTCGGTAGCTCACAACGCCATATTTTAGTAATTTTATTGATTTTTTTTTCCAATTTTTTTTGTCTTATCGATTCAACCAGTATCATGCATACAAACTGAGATTGAAGGCAGCCAAGAGTACTACCTCATAAAATGATCTTCCATTGCCGAAGATGAAGTCGATTGAACCTTGGATATAGCAATCCTTGAAGTAATGGCGACCCCTATCATCATGAAGAGTGTCCTGGGCACCAAAGAATCCACAACCCCAGAATGCAGATTGGTCTCCTGCTATTCTGATTGCCACGGCTTGTGCTCCAACATCCCCAGGTTTTGGAATTGGAGCTACATTCTAGTATGTAAAATTTGTCAGAAAAAAAATCTCTCTAATTACTCTATATTTGATAGGAAAAAGGCAAATTCGAGTTTGACTCCCCTCTACTATGACTTTTTTTTCACTTTTTTTCGGAAGGTAAATAGTTTATTGATTTGAAAATGTAAGATGTACAATAAAGCTCAAAACACGTCCAAAAGGACACACGGATTAGCGCTTAGAAGAGTCTATTCCATACAAAGCACAAGTAATGCTATTTAAACTTAAAAATCTGATATAATTTGTTAACCTAATGATGTGGCTTTATTAAAACCATTGAATCAACACCAAAGTTCTAATATTTAATTGGATTCACAATTAATTCAAATGTCATAATAAATTACATCAGTAAATTAAGTCTCAATAGTATAGCTCTACAAAGCACAAACCTAGTATAGAAAGAAAAAAAAAAGACAGACTAGGGAGGAACTTGCCTACCTAAATATTTTTTACTTTATCCCCCTTCACTATCATATTTTTCACATTGCAATCTCAACTATGTGACTAATTTCGCATTGTCTCAATTATCAATGTCATTACATATTTAACAGNACATGGATGATGCGTTGATGCTTGAAATGAGAATAAGAAGTTGGTACTTTTATAAGACTTTGGATAGACATTGTGGCTTTTCTTTTTCGAGGAAAAATAAATACTAGGAGTTCCAAAATTTAATATATTCTTAGCTCAAAACCCTTTTTAGAATAATCTAGAAGAGTGTGAATATTAATTATTTTTTATGTAAAAAGTAATAAATTGAACTCAAATTTCTTTAGACAAAAGAAAGAAAGAAAGAAATAGAGATTAATACCTAAATCACATAGAGCAGAAGCACAAAAGCAATAAAATTCAAAAACATCTTAGATTATGAGCTAGCGCCTTGAAAACAGTATATTATATGCAGGCAAACACACTTTCATCTATAAAAATTAATCAAAATTAAATTTNAAAAGTTATATCATTTTGCCCCCAATTGTGTAATTATTTTAACTTTTCGTCGACACGTCAACAATTTTTGTCCAAAAGATAATGGATATTTGTGATTGGGACAATGTGAACAATCAAAAGAGTTGGGGGGGCAATGCAAAAAAATTAATAGTTCAAGAGACAAAATGAAATCGAATCTATAGTTTAGAGGGTCAAAGTCTAATTTACCCAAAANTAAATAAAAATTAGAATAATAATTCATAAGCACATAAACAAGTAAGAGCAAGACTTAATTGAATTTGTAAATTCATAAATCGAATATGTGAATTTGATAAATAGAGTGAGAATTCACGAAAAATCCGTTCTCAAAACATGAATTCGTGCGCGGGAGCATTAGGTGCTCCAACGAATCTTGTGACTTGGGTAGCAACTCGCAAAATTCTGTTCAACTTGCTATCTTTTTTTTTTTTTAAGATCAAATGAGAAACGGGTTAGAGTTGAGAGAGAGTATTCATCTCCGTTTCTCTTAGCCAACGAAAAATAGAAATTTGCTCATTTTGGATGGAAATTGGCAGAAAGGATATTGAACAGGGCGAAGCCAAACATTTTCTCCAGTGGAGGCAATCTAAACCATATGAATATTAAAGTTACTAATGTTCACAAAAGTATAGTTTCATTAATATAATATTAATTAAAATTGCAACCCATATAAATGAGGGCTATACAAAAAGAGCCAACAAAAAAAGCTCACCATAAAGTTATCGATAAGACTTAATCATCAAACAAAAAATTTTGGACCAAAAGATTGAGTTCAATCATATATAGTTGAATTTTAACAAACAATCGAAACAAACGTAAACTATGATTATTCTACCAAACTAACTTGGGTGTAGGAATTACTTAATCAGTCACAATAAAACTATTCAAACCATCAAATCAAAACAATTTAATCTAACATAATGCAATGCCTTTTAAAAGAATTTTTTTGACATTTATAAGTAGGTGAAGAGGCATTGCATTTTTGACACGTGTAAGGGCCATTTAATGCTCTCACGTGAGGGTGGCGGGATAAGATATGTGAGGAAACAGTAAAACCATAGCTAGGTGAAAGTCTTTGAGCCTTACTTCGACAAGGACAGGCCGAATTGTTTAAATAGCTTGGGAAGGAAAGAAAGAATGCAGTTTTGACGACCGAGCTTCTCATGTAAGCAACATAGTACTTAGGAGATGCCTATAATTTAGGCATTCTGATATAAAAAATGAGCATGATCATCGGCTTGGTAAAAGCAGGTCAACTGAAGAAACATCCGGAGAAATTTCAGNTTGATATAAAAAATGCGCATGATCATCGGCTCGGTAAAAGCAGGTCAACTGAAGAAACGTCCAGAGAAATTTCAGTAAATCCCTAACAAATTTCCCAAATTGATGGAGGGTGTGCTACCTTGTATTGTCAATCAAGAAAACCCTAGTAGAGGGAGTGTAAATCCCCACATATTTATATTAATATAGTAATGTACTTGTTTAGTGATTCTTATATATGTAATGACGTAAGAATAAATCATATATATTGAAACTGTAAAAATAAATACTAGGGAGACAAATTAATTGTGAAATTTAATTTTTTTTTTAGGTGTTTAAGGTTGATAAGGGTAACAAAGTAAAAATATNAATTGTAAAATTTAATTTTTTTTTTAGGTGTTTAAGATTGATAAGGGTAACAAAGTAAAAATATTAATTTTAGTGTTTCGAGTGTAAATTAATTTTAGTTTTGAAATAAATCATAAAAATAAATGTTTTTAGGTTAAAATAACATTAAAAATTAATCTAAAACGTCTAAAAACCTTAGGGGTAGTCATATGGATCACATTGGAGATTCTTAGTGGCAAAATCGTAATTTTGGAGAAAACTAAATCAGCCTGTGAACAGTAAAATCAGAATTTGACTGACCTTATAACACCATTTCATCCCATTTTTCCTCATTTCTTTCACTCCACTCTCACCTCACACCTCTTGGAACCTTAGAGAAAGATTAAAGGAGGAAGAAAAAGGAAGAAGGAGGTCACTAGAACTTGAGTTCTTATTTGAAATTTTGATTCAAGGTAGGAATTTTCTTCCATCCTTGTTCATTGAGGTTAGGATATTTATATATATATGTTTTGCCTTTAAATGATATATATATATGATATGAAATCATCATCTCTTAGTCTTTTTTTGTAAAAATTACATGTTTTGAACAAAGTTAGGATTGAATACCCATGAAATCTCTTTTCTTGCTTTAAAACCCTAGTTTTTGGAGAGTGATGAATTTTCTTCTTAAATTCTTCATTTATTATTGATTTCGAAACTATAGTGCTTCGTGTTGAGTAATAAAATGATATTGTTGTGATCTCTTGTATTTTTCTTAATTAGTCATTGGAATTATCACATGATAAATTTGAGAATTTTTGAAATATGCTTGTAAATTGAGAAATTGAGTTTGGTATTGTATCTCTTATGAGTGTGGGATGACCATGGGTAGCCTTTGACAAGATATCGTAAAGTGGGTAGACGTTCTTCATACTCCGTGTGGGTTTGAACTTTTTCAATCATTCGTAGTGGGGTTAGTGTTTTGGTAAGACGAAATCGTTATTGCTCACGGGTATCGAGGCAGAGGGTTAGTATACTAATGTCTGGGTTGGATACGTCACTGTCATTGGTATGATATACGCCCTTCCTAAAGGTTGGATATGTTTTAGAAGATTTGTGTGTATGGAGGGGCTAGATGTTACTCAATGCGTTGATTCATGTGGATGTCTTACATCATGATGGAGATACATGTATATATTGTTGTGAAATATTCAAGTTATGAGTTATTGTTTATTCTATTAGAAATGGTTTCTACAAGAATCTTGGAAAGTATGAGATTCTGCAAGAACTTGTGAAAAACGGTTTGTGGTGAAATAAATTATTAATTGTATATTGAGTTCTTTTATTCATTAAATTATTGTTGTTACTTAAACTTGAGATCTATTTCCAATGTCCTTGTTTTCTTCAAAAGTTATATATGTTATTTGTAAAATGAGACCGACCATTTCATATGCTTTTCTAAACCTTGTTCGAGTTTGGAAGAATTTTCCTACAGAGCTTCGTACTCACCCCCTACCTAACAACCTTTTCAGATTATCCTCTCGAGGAACAACTGGGAGTCGAGGAGCCTAAACACTGGGAGACTCTGATAGACGGGAGCGTGAATCCCGAGGTGGAAGCGTAGAGTGGCACTTTCTTTTGTTCTAGACTAGGATATTTATTTTGAACATTGTGAAGTCTAGTTTTTCTTTTGTTATTTCGCTGCACTATGATAGTTAAATTTTTGGGATGTAAATGTCATGGTTGGGCATATTCTTTTGGATAATTTTGTAAATTTTATAGATGAAAAATGAAGTCTTATTTATTTATGGATCATATTAGTGCTCTCATAATGTAAATGATTTTAGATAGTAATGTAGTCAATATTTATTCATAAATGGACCCGGTGTAGTCAATGTAGTATAATTACACAAGTTGTGTTTTAGGTAGAGCTCCCCGTACAAAGGAGACTCTGTCCTAATTTTGTTAAATTAATGACCCCCAATTTTTGGGGCGTTACAAGTTTGGTATCAGAGTTTAGGCTTTAGGTTTTACATGAGAGTTGTAGGTTATGGATTACCACTAGTGAGGTAGGATTAAGTTGAACAAAATTGTTGGTTTATACTTTATATAAGTCTTAGGCTTTATATTAAAGCGATAGTTATGATGTTTTGTACATCAATGAAAACTAAATTATAAATTGATGTGCAGGATGAATAGAGGACGAGGATGAGGACGTGGACGTGGCGTGGTTGTGGAGGTCAAGCAAATCCACCCTTACCACCACCTTCCGATGCCATGAACGACATCTACCAATGGTTAAGAGAGCTCACCACTCTGGTACAAAACCAGAATGGAAACAACAACAACCACAATGGGGGAACTCATCCACTAGCCCAAGTACCGAGCAACGGGGATGAGAATCGGAGAATGACCGTTCTTCGAAAGTTTTTAAGACAGGGCCCACCCACTTTTCGAGGAAGCTCCAATCCCTTGGATGCGGATAGATGGATTCACCGAGTGAAGAAGATTTGTGATGGCATGGGTGTGGCCGATAACCTTAGGGTTGGCTTGGTGACATATCTATTGGAGGGAGAGGCCAACCATTGGTGGGATTCCGTAAAGAGAAGGAAGAACACCAATGCACTCATTAGGGAGGAGTTCGACCAAATCTTCCAAGACAAGTTTTTTTTCAGAATTAGTTAGAGACAGAATGAAGGCAGATTTTCTTGCTCTACGACAGGGCAACATGACGGTGACCGAGTACGAGAGGAGGTTTGACGAGCTATCCCGTTATGCTATAGAGTTTATATCTATTGAGGCTAGTAAGGCCAAAACGCTTTGAGCAGGGATTAAGGCCTGTTATTTGGGAGAAGTTGGTGGCTCTCAAGATCAGGGAGTATGGGGATATGGTTGACCAAGCTGCACTTGTGGAAAGAGATATAGAGGACAACCAGCAACGACAGAGCTTCGTGAGAGGAGGTCCGATCTGGACTGGTGCTAGTAGTAGCGGATTACAGCGAGCGACATTATATCGACGGCCAGACCAGGAAAGTGGACAAAGACTCTTGACAGCCCGAGGAGATGGAGT